AATTATCCTACCGTTCTGTAAAAGTTTATCATGGGAACGATAGGATAATTTTTATCCAAAATTTCTCTCCGTGTACGCAATGTATACGATAATTCTAATAATCATATTTTGGGTGTCTTTAAATTATTTTCATCAAGCTTCCTTTCTCGTCCATTCGAAATCGACAGTTGAAATTCCCCAAGTAGTGCACGAAAATTACTCCCAACCGTTTCAACATTTTATTAAGATCCCAAAATATTTATTCCACTCGTGAAAATCATTGAATCGCAGGGATGGTCTCATTCAATTCTAAAACCATCCAGACTTTAACCTACTGATATTTTAATATCTCAACCCGTCATAAAGTGACAACTTTGTAGCAGAACAGAAGAGAGAAACGGCGAAGAGAATGGAGAAGCTGATCGTAAAGTATTCTTCCCACTCTCGTCATATTGTTCGTTGGGCATAAATTCATCGCGGAATAGATGCAACCACTGCGTGTGTAACTTACACAACTGCGAGCTTGAGACCCAACAAAGTCGGCCATTAAAAACTTTTGAGTACAAAGTAGATGGGATCAGTGCTGGCCCCTTTTAGCATTCACGTTTGATATACGCGTTGCTAATAAAATGTTACAAATTCATTGGATGTAGGGTAGTTTATGACCGGCCGAGACCTTCATCGAAAATGTTTCGTTTTTGTGTTTCACCTCATGTGTGACCCCTTTAAGCCCGGGATTTTGATAGTCGTTCATAAAAAAAGGACGTTTTGACGCAGCTGAAAAAGGCATGACCGATTTATTATTCGTCATTTGAGCACTCGAGACCTTCTGTGGTGACAATTGTCGCAATAAATTTTTGAATAAAATATTTTTACACGTTTATTGCAGATGTGAGGAAGAGATGAAGATAAATTTTGAAAATTGTGGGTTTTATTCGACTTTTTTGCAGTTTATTCGGTTATGAACAGAGAACAAAACTTTCTAGTTTCCAGGACCGAAGCAGACGAGAGTCAGGTAAAGCGGAACGTTTATGGTCAATTTTAATTCTAGAAATCTTCATTTATAAACCGAGATTTTGGAATTTTAATTAATACGGATGCAATACACTATTAAACATTTTCGTCAGAATTGTCTGCGTCAAATCCCCGAAATTTTGTCATTTTTTATTTCCACTGAAATTTCAGGAAATCTTGTTATTAAGAAATTTAATATTCCATTGATTTTCTGTTGCAATGATCTGAAAATTAATGAAATACTCAATCAGTGCCACTGAAAATTCATGAATTTCATTGAATGCTGTCTAAAACTTGAAATTTCATAACCATTTTTCCCCTAAATCGGATTCAGTGTCATTCTCATGAGAATTACTACTGTATTTTCCATGAAATTTCTAAAAATTTCTAACAGCCTACGACATTTGAGTAAAAATCGCCAACACTGAGTCTGAGAATTTTCGATTTTCAGGGTAAATTCTCTTGAAATGGATGAAAATTTCCCCTATTTCCAGAATTTTTCATTCGTCATAAACATTTCACTTTAACAGACTTGTGAAAGGCAGATATTTTTACTGTGAAATTACAACGTTCCTTTCCTCAATCGTCCAGGCGCATGAAATTTCAAATGATTTTTCAATAACGACAAGAGTTATAAATATCTCAATGAATTTTTATTGTCATCCTTTATGCTGCCAAATGAGGACCATTAACAGAAGAATTCCTACAACCAAGAGTTTCTTTGATGCTCGCAGATGGTCAAGTGGTGTTGACGAGTGAGAATCGGTCTTGGGGCCTCTGATAAAAAAAATTGATAGAGCCACTCAAGGGTTTATCGTGAGGAATAACGGATACTATAGTTACAATTTCCTAGGAATGCCGATAAGTGGTGGTATATAACACAACTTGATGAATTTCATTCGCGGAAATTTTCGCTAAAAAGATCAATTATTTGACCAAGTGAGACATTTTGTGGGAAGGAGGGGTTGAATTCCAGAAATTCCTTTCTTCCATTTTCCAATTGGAGTAATCGACACATAAAAGGCGAGTGCAATCGCAGGAACTACTTTGTCAGCCGGAAAAACAGTTGTTTGACCTCATGTTTAACTCGTGTCAACTGTTAATTATCAATTTGAAAAACTCAATATAACAAACAGAATTGATTTTTTTCTGAAATTCTGGAGAAACTAGGGGAGACAGCGCTTGAAGTTGAAATTTCCAGTTGACGAAAGTCCACGTGTGCCTTAATTACCGTCTTTAAACAATTAACAACAGCGATTTTCACCTCCATTTATGATGACCTCGAAAGGATCAAGAATAAATGTTTACTTCGTCTGGAGCAGGATCCAATTTTCTCACACCTCCCGCGAGAAGATTAATCGATTCACAAGGTGTTATAACCGAGATATGATGATCAACCGCAAGTGTTAATGCTCAATTCTTGCGAAATAAGTTCCCCGTATCAGATGAATTCAGTGCTCTGTAATTATCCTGAGTGCTAACCCGCTATAATCCACTTTCTTTCACCGAATATTTTGAGATTACGGTGATCCAAATCACAATTACTCTCGAATTAAATAATAATATGGAGAAAGTTGAGCCCAATATTTCCGAAATAATCTGCAGATCCATTTTTCCTTATTTCTCTGATTTAAATAAACTTCATTTGATGCAAATAAATGATTTTTCTGGGACGAAATCGTAAATGCAATTTTATTATCATCCCCTTTTCTCACAAGAAAAAGAGGTTGTCCCTCACACTATTCCAAAAATTCACAAAAAGGAATTTTGGCATACTGTGATGGCAAAAATTCAATAAGTAACGAAATTTTCAAAGGCCATCGCATGAAGATTTAATGGTTCGCCCACTCATTTGCTTCCTTTTTACCATTCGTCACGTACAAAAAAAACCAGAAAAATCCAACAAATTTATTAGAAAATTCCAATAAAACTATTCTATTCACAAAATTTCGCAACTTATCTTCGAGTTTTATCTCAAGCGAAAAGTTCAGTGGAAAATATTCTATAAAAAAATCAACAGAATTCAATTTTTCTATACAATCTCATCTATTAAGATATTTTCCATAAAAACACAATATTTGAATGGTCCTTGAAGCCCATTTTTTCCTCTCCGAATATTTAAATTCAGAAATCTCCCCCATTAGTAGAAAATTAACTGTTTCATCTATCATTATCATCCCCCGATAAAATTCACTCAGCCTCAGAATACTTTTTACTCGACTCAACCAAAAAAAAAACGCCCTCAGTGACTCACGTTTTTCATTCCCCCCTCAGTCGGCTCGTTTCGCAAATCCTTTTACGTTTACCCGTGTGTCGTGTCGCGCGTCTTGGGTTAATGGCCCACAGAGAGTTAACCGAAGGTAAAAGGGAGGACAAGGGGGCAGTGATGGTCGCACGGTACGTCATGAAAGTAACATACAAACAGTACAGCTTGGGGGCCAACACACACAGGCCAAATGCCTCCTGACCATAAGGGAGACTACATTGACTGACAAGGCGCAATCCCTCCCGAAGGTGAATTCCAGTGGTTGAATCTCAGCAATAAATCCACCTTGGTGTTTACGGGAGGCATAGGTGGACCATGGGGACAACGTGGTGCACTGATCCTGATAGTGGTGAGCATTGCCTTGGGGCTGTGTAGACACCAAGTATGGTAGTCAACAGCCCATGGGGACACTTCGTTAGGCAGATGAATGCCGTCGCATACACTCGGATATTTGAGGGGATTGTAGATTTTTAGGTGGGATAAGGGAGATAATTTACGGGCTGGAAATTCTAATTAAACATTTTTTTTATATTAACATCAGAATCAAAATCAGTTCAGTTTGATTCAGTTCAGAATTGATTTTTTCAAGAATACTTCGCGCTGTTTCACGCTTGGTCCAAGGTATCGGGCGCGAGATGGCAGCAGATGCTGGAGAGCACTCCCAACGTCATCTCTCAACAACCTCAATAAACTGCATTTAATGCTCAACGCTTTCACTACGTGCGGTAAACTAAATTTGGAGATGAATTTTTCATCTGTCGGCATCTTAGCCGTCTTATTCTACTCAATGGGAAAGATAATCTTCAAAATTTCATTTTCTGAATATAGAGCTATTGGAGAACTAAGAACTAAGAAGAAGAAATAAATTTCTAACGCTTCAATTCGTTTTTTTCTTCAAATGATCTGTGATATCACGATAGGTGTGTCATATTTTTGCAATATTATGAAAAATAATAAAATAATTAATTATTTAAAATTCAGCATAAAAAGTCTAATCGGCTATATACGGAAGTGAATAAATAAAATAATTTCATCCATTCTTGATCATTTAAATTTTCAATTGACTATGAATTAAGTAACTGACAATGTGGAAATGTCAATTGACTATTGAGTAAATAATTGTAAATTTCATGAAAGGATTTTTCAATTTTCCATATAATCGTCAATCTTCTAAACTCAATTATTGACTGATATATTAATTCCGGATTTGAATATTTAATTGACGATTAATTCAATAATTCAAAATTGATGATGTCACTAAATGCTTTCCAATGAAGATGAATGGGCAATTAATTTTTTTCATTTCGTTTGCATTCGCGTTTCCATGTAATGAGTTATTATTAAATGCATTCCATTATTCCCCAGTTCTTTCCCTTCAACAATAAACATATAATTTGAAAAAATATCAAGTGTCTGAAAGATGCTGTGGTATAAACCAGTAGGAGTGGCATAGAGAGCAAACAAAATTGGAACCAATCGAGGAGAAAGGGTGGTCCAGTCAATGTTTATCTTTCCACCGACTCCAGGGATGCTGGAGGCATGCCTTTACACCTCATCGGAGCGGCGCACAAGCGTCTTTTCGACGCAAACTTCTTCAACTCTTAGATGAACAGATAAAATATCCTCAGTCTGTGATTAACTCCGACAGAGATCACAAAAAAAAATTATTTCCTTCCGATATTTACTTTTGTCTTCCCTAAATTCAATATTCAATCCAATTTGCAACGACTGGAGAAGCGGAATGTTACGAGGAAAATGTAAAAAATCGAAGGAGAGTGACGAATCTGAACAGAAGCAGAGAAGGCCCAAATGTGCAAGATGTCGAAATCATGGGTTGATTTCTTGGCTTAGGGGGCATAAGAGACAATGCAAGTACAGGGAGTGTCTCTGTGCAAAGTGTGCACTCATCGCCGAACGACAAAGAGTAATGGCTGCACAGGTAACAATTTTATTCTTAAAAAAAGAATTTTTTGCCGTGCGACAAAGGAATTATTAATTTTCTCTTCTGAAAATTTTCTTATTGAGCCGTTTTCCCCAAGAATTTCAAGTTTTTTCCTCTTTTGTCTCCTCTCATTAAAAAATGGCATAAACATATAAAAATTTTCATGTTAAATTTGTTCGTGAGCGGCAAAATATTTAAAAGCTAGTGAAAAAAAACGGAAAAAAGTGAAAACTGAAAAAGTTTTTTTTTTAGATTTTCAAAGGGTCAGATTTTCCGTTTTTCCAGGGGGAAAGTCGACTTTCGCCAAAATCGAATTTTTTCGCCAAGTGAAGAATGATTCTATACTTATTGACCCCTCTAATTCAAGAGCGAAAGAGTTTGTAGATTACTTAAAAACATTTCTACACCTCTAGATTCGCCTAATTGTAAGACACATCTTCTGCTGTCGAATCTTTCGCTAGTTTCAACTTCATCATTCATTACCGAGTGCGAATGTGTAAACCGCAACGCATTTATTATTCCCAATACCATTTATAGGCCTCGTAATTGGCTTCAGCTGTCCTGACATGAGTAAGCAAAATAAAATGAGATGAATAAAATCCCTAGATTCATCTATCAGACGAACAGGATGTTGCCATCGACTACTGCACCACCCCCATTCCTCATAAATATTATTACTTCGCGATAACATCACCTTGACACATCTTTCTCCCGCAAATGACACATGTACTGCCCTCACCAGAATCCATTAAGCTCTGGGATTGTGTTTCATTGTGTACGTTTGCTCAGACATTACGATACTTGATCCTAAATCCATATCAGGGATTTGATTCACCCCTTCAACGTTTCACCGCAAACATCCTTTCGTATTCATCCGATACGCAGTAGCAAGGGAGGTCGTCCACCGATTTTATCAATCTCAAATTCCAAAATTAGGAATTACTGTGCATTACACAGGTGGCGTTAAAGAGACAACAGGCGGCTGAGGACGCCATCGCCCTGAGCATGGCTAAAGTCGCGACGGGACAGAGATTCGATCATCTACCTCCTGGGAAAATATTTGGCATGGCTGTCACAGCGCCCAACATGTGTCCCCCACTCTCATCATTTCAATCAGATGATTCGAATAATCAGAACAGTATAAAAGATACTGCTGTTGGGCTTCAAAGTAACGAAGTTGATAAATCAGCTGTGAGTATCTAAAGTATTATGAACAAATTTCGATTTTTAAGGATTAGATTCTGAAGAAATTTTGGATGGAAGTTAATACTGTCGGATTTTTTTTGAAAATTAAGTAATATTTGCACTTGACTTCAAATTATTTAATAATTTTCATTATTATGTGGACCTGAAAATTGCAATTCCATGGAGTACTCCGGAATTCAACTGATTTTTCAATGACAAAACACGAAAATTTCGTGTGAATGAGTGATTGTTGAAAATTTCAAGATTTTTTACTTGAAATTTCAGGAGTAATTTTCTAATAGTGCAGGACAATTCCCGTGAAATCTGTCGTGTGTAAAATCGACAGTCCAGTGTTGTTGATGAAGATTAATTCAGAAGTGCCAATTAATACAGAGTCTCATGAGAAAATGATCTTTTCAATGTGGAGAAGAATATTAAGATTGAGAATAAATCTTGAACTATAAAAAAAGATGAATCAGTTCTATTTTCAACGTGAAATAAAAATTCAAACCCAAATTCAAATTCAATATCATGCAGAGAAATGTTCAGTAAAAATTACGGAACTCACAATTCACTCATTTACGGAATCGACTCGGAAAATTTAAGTGACAATATCGTAATTTTTCACAGGAGATTCAGATAAAAATTACGGAACGCTCCGAAAAAATTCCGTGACAGTACCGTAAAATTTCCTACAACTGGATTTCGCTCCGGAATTACGGAAAAGATACGGAATTTTTATTGAATATTGCTCTCCGTGTCGATCAATTTTTTACGCTTGACAAAATCAAAATTCATGTAAAAAATTATTAATGATAAGCCAGTAGTTGTACTGTTTCTCACGATTTATCGTCCGGAAATTGGCATTACATATTTCCCCTAAAATAATCGCTTCATTTTTCGAAACAGCCCCACGTAGAAGATCACCCGGAAAAAACTCTATGCAGTCCATCTAAAAAGGACAAGAGTGAGGATGCAGTTCAAAAAGAAAGGCCCGAAGTCCCGGAGAGTTCGATTGAAACCCTCGCGAGGCTTTTTCCGAGCACTAAACTATCAGTAATACACCTGGTCCTCCAAAGATGCGGGCAGGATTTGCTAAAAGCCATTGAGTATTTCGCGAGCAGCAGCAGCAGTAGCTTCATTGGTTCTCCATACTCTGCATTCCGTCCGCACATTTCCACTTCATCAGAGGCTCAATCAACCCCAGACATCAGTTCGGTCTTCCCTCTGCCCTCGATCTATTCGGGCGCCTTCTCAAGGAATTTATACAGCAGCAGCTATTATCTCCTCAACATGCGGGGGAATCCGTTGCCCTGCAATTGCATTCCCGAGGCGACTTCGTCTCATGAGTTAGACAATGGCACGTTCAATGTTGGGTACAATAATTATGTTAATGTCAATGCTTTGCAGCAACTGCGGGAGCACGGTGGCGAGCCTGAACTGCTACATCTGCCGTCTGTCATCCCAGGGATACCGTGTATTCAACCAAATTGCACGCAGTGTTACAAATATATTTAATCGAAGATTCTCATGTGAATAAAATAATTTGGCGTGCGTCACGGTGAGATCTTCAAGACTAAAATACTATTCTCCAAATTAATTCAACTAGACTTGGTTTGAGAAAAGACTTTCTTGTTATAATCAGAAAGAGACCAGAATGATTTATTTCATTAATAATTATTTGTTCATTATATACCAATTATATATTAATGAATAATACCAATTCTTCATTTATAATTATGTATTTAATTAATTATTTTTTTTATTATTTGATTTATGATAAGAAGTTGATTATGTCTATCATCATCCAGCATAGCGTATGTTCTATAATGACAGACATCGCGCAAAATACCTTCATCATTAATTTGTTGAACAAATCAACGATAAATTCCAATGCGACTTCGCACCCACATTTTCTAGGGCCAAATACAGATAACTATCCAGTGTAATAATACCACGATAATACAGTACTCATTGACCACGTACGTATCATGTACTGTGTATTCGATGATGTATATTGTTCGAGTGAAATAGACCATGGGAAATTGAATTACGAAAATCGAATCATTCGTGCAAACAGAAAACGAAGCCTGCGTCCACCCCCGCCGGGGGAGTATAACCTACCTCAGATTTCTATTTACTTAGACTCTGGTTTTTCGGCTAAAGAAAATAAGAGTTAAAAGATATCGCCTCGAGGTGCACACGCCTCGCTCGTGTGACTTGAATGTGGAAATTTTATCGAATTAGGTGACCTGTAATGTGATTTCGCGAAGTGGAAGCGTTTCATCGACTTCTCTTTCCAAGTTTTTTATTTATTCAAATCACCAAACATTAAATATTTGATCATTACAAAATATACATTTCATTTTCACTCATTCCGAAGTAGCTATACTAATGTTGTTTAACAGCCTCAATCCATGATTTGTATGGAAAAACATCGGTGAATATACTTGGGTGGGCACCTGTGCAGCTGTAGCTGTAGGAAACCACTCCGATAACTTCTTTGTTCACACTGTAAAGTGGACCACCACTGTCACCCTGTGGATCGCAAGATCACGAGAAACAGTGAATTGAGTGAAATAAATTATCGAAAATAAAAAATATTCGGGATTATCCCCAGGATTATTTTACTATACGCTATCTTATACGAGAGAAACAATCAATTAATTAACAAGCCCTGGGGATAATACGGAATATGAATATATCGGGCGAAATAATTTCTTTCATTTGAGAATAAAGAGACATTACGAAATTTCAAGAGTTCTTCAGCGTGAGAAAGGAAGATCGGATTCCATGAAAATCTGGCAATGGGGGAATTACATTTTTTTCAAGTAAAAAATCTTTAAATTTTTACCAACGAATAATTTACATGGAATTTCCATTGCTCTTGTCATTAAGAAATCAGCCAATTTACTTGAATATTCAATGAAATTCATTTCTCAGGTTCACACGACAATGAAAATCACTGAAGATGGTGAAAATTGAGGCAACTTTTCTTCTGAATTTTCAATCCTTTGAAAATTGAATTGAATGTATTGCTTAATTTTCACGATAGGTATAAAAATCCAAATTGTCCTTGAAAATTCAATGATCATTCATAATGAAAAACTTAATTCTGTTGAATTTCCAAGATGAATCAGGAATTCCATGAGCAATTTAGTTTGAAATTGAATTCAAGATCGGAATATTGAGAATTCAACTGCATCTGTTACTCAAATTTCAAAAAAATTCTAACAATGTAGAAGACAGGTTTTTCTTATACAGTTGCCGCTTACCTTACCTTAAATACAACTGACTGATTGCAATTAACGGAAATGCTACATATCTGTCAAATTATACTCACAACGCAGGTAGAAAATTTCCGTTTCGTTCCCTCTGCACAAATCACATTTTTCGGAGCCAACGGATCGCGATGAGCTTTGCAGAAGTTGTAGTCAAGTACTTTGAAGGTGACTCTCTGTAGATGGTCAGTTGGTGAACCACTTTCGTCCTCTTGAGTCAACCCCCAGCCGACTGCTGTGGCAACAGAGCCAGGTTTGACCCTGGCACTTGGCAGTGCAGCAATTTTTTGAAATTTATTTTCCGGAATTTCTGTTTTGAGCTAATAGCAAAAATATTGATATCAATATCGTTCAAGTATTCGAGAGAATGGTGAAATGTATTGCTGAATGATTCCTGAGATATTCACAGTTACAATGGCGAGATCTCCCCCCGCATCTTCGACGTCCTCCCCTGGCCATTCCGGATGTACATCAATGCGATCGGCGAGATAATGCTGCAACTTATTACTGTCCGTTAAATGGTCGTGACCTGGGATTATTCTTACCCCCGATGCAGGAGCGATGACGAGATTACCGTTGGGTTTGGAGCCTTCAGTGAAGCAGTGGGCAGCTGTCAGCACATGCTTCTTGCTGATCAGGGTGCCGCCGCAGAGGTGACGGCCTGATAGCCGTTGAAGAACCACGGTTGAGGGAAATTCAATGATACTGGCATCCTCCCCGTGGACTATTCTCTGGGGAACACGAGCAGTTACACCTGCGTGAAAGCAGGGAAATAGAAAGTGTGAATTGTAATTACACATCAATCGATGATTCAAATCGAATAAGTTGAATTAATGCCTGCGGATTACTCGACAAATATCTTGAAGGTGAAGGGGTTTTGTAAAAAGAATGAAGAAAGATTTTTTGTAGGAAATGAGTACAAAGGTCTTCCAATTCATTTCATGAAAATCTCTTGTTTTGTAAAATATTAGGGAAATTATGTGTAACTCTGTGATGCATGGAGAAAACAATCGACGGAAAATTGAAGATTTAATTGTATTTCAGAAAATTTTCTTCAAAGACAAAGTAAAAATGTGAGGCAAATGCAGAGAGAAATGTTGGATAAAAGTTGCCTAGAAAATCGTGGTAAATTTCACTGTGCGAAAGGTAATCGTGGAGGGAAATGTAATTCAATCAAAAAATGTCTGTTTGTCCAGGAGGAATGGAAAAAACAGTTTACCGAAGGCGTTCGCTAAAAAGTCATTCTCCGTTACAGAATAATTATACGCAATATTGACCAATCATCCACGTTCACTGGGATAATTGTTGATGGAATGCGGGATAAATCTTACAGTTTCGACACAAATTGTCGTCACGTTCGGTCAATTTTTCCGAGCCAATGGAGAAAAAATCACTATTCGTTTCGCATTTTTTCCCCGATAGAGAGTGAAAAAACACTCCACGATTATTTAGATTCTTCGCTACTTTTTCTTCAACTTTTTTCTCCGTGTGATGAAGTTTTATCTTTGCAATGTAATTTCCCGCAAACGAACAGTCAAACTCGACAGTTATTGGTGGAAAAGTGAGAGGAAGACGGGTAAATTTCACTGTTTTTCTAGCTAACTTCCACTATTTAGTAATTCTCATAACATTTTTCTTGCAATTTTTCACTTACCTGCTAATATCGCAAATGCGAAGACAATCGACAAACTGAATGAACTCATAGCTGGCACTATCACACACTGAAGCATTCGGAATCGGATACTGGATGTTTGGATTTTTACGGCCATTTAAATACCCGATTAACCGTGAATTACTCTGATAACGATCAGAGAAAGCATCTGTTCTAACAAATTTGCTCTAAATTTCGTAAATATGGCGTGTAATGACCTATTTATCAATTGGCACATACAATGTTCACTCGCCTGGGCCAATGGCCTAGTCATAAATCCGCCATTCGTGAATGGAGTGGACCAATCATCTATTGACAGACACTTTTCATTCTCTGTCGGCTTCAACCATCCCCGGACTAAACAGTCTCGATTTTTCCTGAAACCGCGGTTCAATGTCCCCCATTCATTTCACTTGTACGCGCGCACGAATTTATATCCTAAAATTGATGATTTCTGAAGAATCGATGATCGAATTGATCAATGACGCGATCCATATGTGTCTTAAAGTAAGTCTTAGCACTGATTACTAATAAATATCACAATATCAATAATAATCTCACTGATTTGATAAAACATTATTTGACAAATTTCATGAACCCATATTACCATAGTAATGACTATAATTGATTTAAGGGGAAACGAAATATGAAGAAAATCGTGAAAAATTTTACTATGAGAATGGGAATTGTGCAGCAAAATGTAATTCAGTAAATCGAGATTGCTCCACGATCACTTGACTTATTTTGTAATTTTCCTCCAACTCTTTTCTCGCGAATGAACAAAACACAATTTCTTTCATTTTGACCTTTAAAGTCGTTCAAGTGTCTCACCTTTTATCCGATTGAATATTTTTTTTTTTTCAAAATATTCGTTAGACTCCACAGAAGAAATATACGTATCAATTCATTAGATAGATCATGGAAAAATTTAAGAATTTTTTTTTGTTTATTGCTTTTGCATTAAATTATCAATTTTTTTTTTTTTTTTCAAAAAACATTGTCTTGGCTGTTGGTAAAAGAAGATTAGTGCTCAGTAGGAACCACCTAAAATACCAACTGTTGAGCTTCATAGTTTTATCCGACGGTAAAAACATTTTCTCCTCAACCAGCAATTTCCTACTTACGAGAGGTTAGAGACACGTGGGTGACGTGGGTTGAAGTCATGTTGAAGTGTTTACCTGTTTCAATAACTACTGAATAAACTCAATTTTCGTAATTATCCACCAGTGACATGTGAAAATGTCGAGGCTCATTGTGAAGAATTTACCCCCCAGTGTGAGTATGACTAAAAAATAATTAAAAATCGCATCTCAACACGTGAAACCCTTCTACAATTATTGCATATTTCCTTACAGGTTACTGAGACTAAATTGAAAGATATATTCAGTGAAAAAGGAATTGTAACCGATGTGCAGCTGAAATATACGAAAGATGGAAAATTTCGTAGATTTGGATTTGTGGGTTTCAAAACAGAGGAACAGGCGCAGGCTGCCTTAAACTTTTTCCACAAAACTTGCATTGACACCGCAAGGATCACTGTTGAACTCTGTGCTGGATTGGGTATTTAGAATTGTTTAATTCATTTCTTATCCCATTATTTAACTAGTAACACTAAAACTTTTTTCTGTATGGAATCTGGAATGAGAATACACATGATTCGTTTAATTTTAATATTGATGCATTATACACCCCACGAAATTTATGAATGTAGGGGAGGTTGGGGTAAAACGGACACTTTTGACTTTTTTTAAAAATGTTCATGAGGAGTTGAAATGTTGTTAAAATTTTGTATATTTCTTTTCAATACAAAGAACAATTCTTTCCATTTGTGACGAGCCTAAACTGAGCTCAATTGATCAATTTGTTTCTGAGTTATGAATAATTTTTAAAAAGTCTAAAGTGTCCGTTTTACCCCACCCGCCCCTAATTCATAAACCTTTCCACCACTCCTCTTTTAATTCTTCACTTTTATCTAATTTTTAACTAATTTTCGTCTCATCAACAGGAGATGCCTCGAAGCCAAAAGCATGGAGCAAATACGCCCAAGACAGTACAGCCCACAAAAAACTCACAAAATCGGAAGAAAAGCCCCAAAAACCCGAAGAAAACCCCCCGAAACAGGAAAAGAAAGCAAAGCAAAACGACGAGATAAAGTCCCTCATAGAAAAACACAAGGAGGATCCCCTCTTCGTCGAGTTTATGGAGACCCATGGGGCTGACGGTTCTAAAATCTGGGGAAATGACACAGAGATCTCCGCAATTGACTCCCAAAAACCCCAAGACCCCTCAGAAGACGAAAATTCCGAAGACGAGGCTGAAGATTCCGAAGACTCCAACGACGATTCCGAAGAGGAATCCCCAAAAATCGCGGATAAGAAGCTCTCAGACCTCGAGTACATGGAATCCCTCAAGAAAAAGTCCGAGGACTCGACCCCAAAGCCCAAAGACTCTGTGAAAAGCTCTGACCATGGCTCAACCAAATTTTACACTGTGAAATTGAAAGGTCTAGGCTACAACCACAAGAAGAAACACATAAAACAGTTCTTCCATCCCCTAAAGGCGAAGTCGATTCGAGTCCCTCAGAAAATTAAGGGAATAGCTTATGTAGGATTTGCAAGCGAAAAACAACGCAACCAAGCGTTGAATAAAGACAAGAGTTTCTTGGAGGGCAAGAGGATATTCATAACGAAATACGAGGGAGATAAAAAAACAGAAGTAAATGGACTGAACTCGAATGATGGAAAAGCAGAACCCAAATGGAAAAAACAGGAAGAAGCTCTCAAGGATGAGGAGGCTATCGCAGAGTCTGGGAGGATGTTCGTGAGGAATTTGTCGTACTCGACTACTGAAGATGATCTGAGGGCGGTTTTCGAGAAATATGGACAGATCACGGAGGTCAATCTACCGGTGGATAAGGTAACCAGGAAATTGAAGGGGTTCGGAACGGTGACGTTCATGATGCCGGAGCATGCAGCGAAGGCTTATTCCGAGCTGGATGGGTCGATCTTAAATGGTATGTGAGAAGTAAAATTATTGAGGGATTTGATGAGAAATTAAATGAATGGGGAAACGAAATTTGAGAATTGACTTGTGAATGTCTCAAGGTGAGAGCGGTTGAGAGAAAAATTTAGTAATGCTGTTGGAAGAGCTTGAAATTTCATGGACAGTTCAATTTTCAAGAGAGAGACATTGTATTTGATTTTGAGAGAAAAACATGGAATTTTAATTTTCAATGACATTTCAGTAGAATAATTTTGGGGGCGCCAGGAAAATGAGAATTTCTTGACTTATTTGAATTATCCTGATTTCCATCAATTTTCATAGAATAATTGAACTCAAATTTACGCGCTCCATTGATTTTTTACTCAAATTGTGAATTTTAATTACGAAATTTCTTGAAATTTTAGTGCAACGGTAACTTGTTAAAAATGTGCAACAAATCTCTACTTTTACCGGTAAAAATACTATTTTTACAGACATGTGGAGAATAATCTGTGTAAAATACACCATCAAATCTGACTACTCAACTAATTCTCGATAACTTACAATCTACTGATTGTGAGTAGAATTTAAAAAGTCCAGTTTTCCGTGAAAGTTTTTACATTAACTTTTGCTTCTTTTGCTTCAGAATGAGACTGAACTCATTGCAGTTGTATCATTCCACAAAGGCTATTAAATATGAAAAAAAAAAAAACATTAAAAAAATGAAATGAAATAAAAAAATGAAAAAATCAATTGATCTTTCTCCCAACATTTCTCAACGCAACTGCATCACCACCACATTTAATTCTCCAACAGGCAGAATGCTCCACCTCCTCCCCGGTAAGTCGAAGCCCTCGATAACTGACCTCCTCCAGACCCCAGGTCTGACCTTCAAAGAGAAGAAGGAACTCGAACGAAAGGCGACAGCAGGTTCCTCCCACAACTGGAACACCCTCTTCCTGGGTCAGAACACCGTGGTGCAGGCCATAGCCTCCACCTACAACACCACTAAGGATAAAGTCCTGGAGGACGGAGGCAAAGGTACCAGTGTGGCCGTTCGGCTCGCCCTGGGGGAGACCCAGCTCGTCGAGGAGACTCGTAAATTCCTGGAGGAGAACGGAGTGAGACTGGATGCCTTCAATCAGGCCCCCGAGAATCGCTCGAAGACCATTATTCTCGTGAAGAATCTTCCCCCAGGGACCAAAGCCCACGAATTGAGAGAGAAATTCAAAGTTCATGGGGAGGTGGGACGTGTGGTAATGCCTCCATCAGGTGTCACTGCTCTAGTCGAGTTTCTTGAGCCCTCGGAGGCTCGCAAGGCCTTCACTAGATTAGCATACACTAAATTCAAACATATTCCGTTGTACTTGGAGTGGGCGCCTGACAATAGTCTGACTCCCAGTGATAAAAGAGAAAAGAATGGAAAAGCGTCTGGGACGAATGAAGTGAAGGAAGAGAGAATCGAACAAGATACCACGAGCAAAGAGGCGAGTCAAAAAGAGAATAAGGACGAGGATGAGGACGATGAGGAGCCGGAACCTGATACCACCCTCTTCGTCAAGAATTTAAATTTCTCGACCGATGAAGAGACCCTCAAGAAATATTTTAGCAAATGTGGAAGACTGCATTATGCCAGTGTCACCACGAAGAAGGATCCCAATAATCCTGGTCAAAAACTGTCGATGGGGTATGGGTTTGTCAGGTATAAATTCAAATCTGATGCTGATAGGGCTCTTAAAGAACTGCAATCAACGACTCTCGATGGAAAAACACTGGAGCTTAAGCGATCTGAGAGGACACTCAAGTGAGTTTCGGAATTTTCGTGGGATTTTCGGTGGGACTGGTTTAATTCATTGGTTTATTTTTAGTTCCGACGTCTCGACAACGAAGAAGACGAGCAAAGTGGGGGAACAGACTGGTACCAAGATTTTGATCAAGAATATACCGTTCCAGGCGAATGCTGATGAGATTACTGAATTATTCAAGTGAGGATTTGAGAAATTTTTGGGGATTTCGGGGGGGGGGGGATGATTATGGAGTCACAAGAGATATATTTTGAATAGCTGTTGATTTTTTTTTTATTTTCAGAGCTTTTGGGGAACTGAAGGCTGTAAGATTGCCTAAGAAACTTATGGGGCAGGAGAAACACAGGGGTTTTGGATTTGTTGAATATTATACTAAGAGTGATTCTAAGGTAAATTAATGAAAAATTTAATTGTCGCGAGTTTTGAATGGATATCTTTGAATCTAGAATGCGTTGAAATCAGAGATAACCTCGAAAAATAATCTTCAACTGCGATAATTGAATTTAACGCATTTTAAGTAATTATTAATTAAGCACCAGTAAAACTAACGCAAATCGAAAAAAAAAATTTTTTTAATATTCAAAAAATTACGCGACGTTTTATAATCAGATTGTAACATTAAATCGTGAAATTGTATTTTCCTTTAGAGAGCCTTCAAAGCACTGTGCCAAAGTACTCATTTGTATGGCAGAAGATTGGTACTGGAATGGGCCCAGACAATTGAAGACGTGGACGATATTAGAAAGCGAACAGCAAAACATTTTCACCAAGGTATCAAACTTGATCCATTCCAATGGCATTCTCACCATATATCTCCCCCCAAAAATCATACAAATTCCTTAATTGTTCGAGTCTATGAATATTCAATTGAAAAAACCCATTTCACTGCATTCCAGAGCCATCGAGTAAGAGGAGTAAAAAAGCAACACTGGATCCTGAATCAGTGGGATTAGCAGCAGAATAAAAATATATCGATAGAAATATTCATACTGTAAATAAAATGGCATTTACATCAATTGACTAATGTGTTATTAATGCATTGAGGAATCTTAATAGATTAATAAATTCTCTTTGAAAGTAAAATTGAATGATGAAATTGTTGAGTTGTTTATTACAGAAGGGATGAAGTATTAAATTACTATTTACTATCATCATAATGTGAAAAATAAATTATTGCCGAGGAAAGTTGGAAATTTTTCTGAATCAGTGCCAAAATTCCAAAATTATAATTGGACTTTTACACGAAATTTTGATCGTCATGTCACGTAGTCAAAACAAAACTCTTTCCTCAATTTATTCTCTCACTCTCTCGATTGAATTATCGCAAGGCAAACAACCTCGGTTTTAATGCCATGTATCTGGGATTCGATTCTCGCGAATTCTCGTGGTATTGAATACATTTTTAATCGGCAATCACTACTGCCCATTAACATATTCATGGAGATTGTAGAAATTGTTGACGATTGAATTCGCATTGAAAGAGTGAAATTGATACTTTAGTTTTTTGGTAGAGATGATTCTCTTCAATTCCGGAGGAAATTACTAGTTGAAAGACCGTTTTTTGAGGGCAAATTTGTTTCTGTACTGCTTCTCATGATTTCTCGTCTGGGAATTGGTATTGCATACTTCCCCAATTGGTATTTTTCGCATCTTTTACGATAGTTAACGAAAAGTGACTCAAGACATTACCCCATTCGTATTAACATTCCCCATTTTTCACACTTGTAACGTAATATACTATTTTGACGCCGCAAAGTGCCTTTTCATACGAAAAGAAAACGAAAAATCTTTTCGTTTGCTTGTAAACGAAAAAGGCACAGTTTGACCACTCGCTGAACCTAATATCACTGTCAAAAAATATTGTTTCACACATGTGAGACGAGAATTTTTAGCTCGTGTGATTGGCAGCCCTCGGCTTCCTCTCGGGCCGCCAACCTCACACTCGTGAAAATTACCGCTCACTCGTATCGAAATATACGATTCTGACACTGCTGCCACGTTCACCTCGTGCCAAAACTGTTTCCTTTACTCGTAAACGAAAAAACACTTATCAGAACGAGTCGAACATAGCAACAGTGACAAAAAGAATTCTACGGGATGAAACTGAAAAGTGTCAACGTTCCATGAATCCAATAATGAATTTCCCCTAATCCCCAGTTTCCGGAGGTATTGCCAACCGCACCATTGAACAAACTCATTACCCGCTTCAATCCTCAAATACACCCATTAAAACCACCCACTTTCTATTCTCATCACCTCATAAACCCCATTTTTATAAATTCATCAAGTCTAAAGGACAAAAGTGCAGTTGAACGTTGGATATAAATTCTAAAAATATTCAATAGGGAAGAAAATGTCTTCCTTTCACCTCTCTCGTTGTTAAAAAACGTGCCCCAGTACTTCGGATGAACGTTTGGAATGGGAAACTGGCAGGATCACGATGAGGGGCCCCTGGTGGGGCAGAACGAAGAGGTGGAGTTGAGCCGGCAATGAACATCCATGAAAGTAACAGTGCTGTCTAGCGCCTTCGTGCATGCGACAGGGATTTACTCTCGACTTCAGTTTTTAATTCTGTGATCGCCGAAAAATAATCAGTGACTTCCAAAAATTAATATTTCTTTTTAATAATCAAGCCGATTTACCCAACTACCCGCAGTAAATTGTAATAGAAAATAAAATAATCATTAATTTATGAAGTGAAATTTCGTGTTCAGTTATTATCATGAAAATGTTGTGATTCAATCCCCATCATAAAACAGGAGGAAATCATTATCCATAATGGATTGGGTGAGTCCATTTCCTCGATTCAAATGAAGAATTCAAACATAAATAAATGTATATCAATCGAGTGAATGGAGAATTATTAACCGCTAATTTACTATATATTTTATTCCCGAGGATTTTCTTCACGCGAGTGATTATATTTCACGGAAAGGGGAAAATAAATTTATAATACCCTGGGAAAATCATTTTCTCCTCTATTCGTGCTAATTTTTTACATTTCATTTCCTCATTGAGTTATGAAAATCGTTTGAGCTCAGTTGAGACAACGGATGAACTTTCATTGCAGCCTTGAAAGGGTATTGTAACGGATGTGTTTCGCCGTTAGAATTGTTTATTGCCATGTAATTATGCGTTGTACACGGAAATTTCATAATGGGGAATTTTTTTTGCCTAATTTTTGAATGAAGTTTTAATAAGTGACATTTCCACTGAAATGTCATGAACCCCAGTCACCGACAAATGACAATTTGATGTCATCTCAAATAATCTGTGAAAATGAGTGAACATTAGATAAATCAGGGAATGTTATTATTGAATTGTAAATTTATTGAAAAATCCCGTAAATTGTGAAATTTCTGTCTCATTTCCACTTGAAACGTATGAATTTAATTCAACTTTCAGCTGAACCTTGAAATTTTATAAGCATTTTCCCCGTAAATCTATTCTAATATGACTTTTATGGAAATTTCTCTCAGAATGTCCATGACATTCCAATCTTCTCAAACACTGCAGGAAATGTTTTTGCGGGAATTTAATTTAATTGTCTACAAAAACGATCTTTCAATATTTTATCGTAAAATTGATATTCTCTGCTCTTTTCATGTACACAATTTTTTTTAGATTTATTACTTCATATGCCTGAACGATTTGAGGACTATCCAGTTCAAACTGACGTCAATTTGTCTCTTATATTTCAGGAGAGAATTAAAAAAAAATTATTTACTTGATTTTTCTCATTCTCTGACGATGTGGAGTAACTAATAGATAAGAAGCCTTCCGCATCCCATAAAAATGATTCGAACGAAAATTGAAAATGTCCATTCGTTTCAATTCTCTCGCTAATCTTATTATAAATTTTCAATCAAATTTAATTTAACAATTCACAAAAAATTTTGTAATTTGCAATCAATGTGTAAATGAGCAACAATTAGTAGAGAAGAACCTCATTACCACCTCATTTCCATTGTCCCACATGTGAAAATCCCCACAATTTTCCCAAAGGTGAGAGACTAACATTGCAAAATCATAGAGAAATGACAGGACTCCATTCACTCACAAAAAATAATGATTTCTAAATTGTTCTACAATCATGAAGAAAAAAAAAGACTAAATGACAGATGCTGACGGTCTTTCATGATTCAGAAAATCAACACAATTGTATAACAGAATAGCTCTCTGGGTCTGTAGTTTAAGACAAAATTAATGCCGCGGAAATAACAATAATTAGGAAGAAGTAATGTTTGTAAAAAAAAATACTGTCGGTGGCTTTCGAGGAAAAGAAAAGTAGTCAATCGTCCACGTGCGTAGTTCCAGTGGATAGTGAAAGCTGGAGCGATGATCTTTTATTTATAGGGGAAATATGTATGTAATCTAGGAAGAGATCATCCCAATGACCTTCGTTGCTCTATTAATGTTCATTAATTGAGACAGAGTTACTCCCCACTGCAGGAGGAAATTTAAATTAGTTGAACGAAATATTTGTGTTATCATATTTTTTTCGTGTTTTTATTTCTCATTAATGCGAAGGATGATCATCGGTGATGGATCGTCGGAGAGAAACTTCCGATAAATGTTCAATGGTGATTTGACGAAATCAGCTATATTCATGGGCAATAATTAATCTACTCTTGTAGTAAAATCATAAAGAAAGATGAGTTTCGAATCGTTTCAAGGTTCACTTTGAGAAATTATCCTTAGGGGGAAGAGGTTTAGATGATCAAGCTGTTCAAGGATGGATTTTTTAGCGGATTTTTGAGATTTTTTTTCGATTTTTCGACTGTTTGAGATTCATTCAACGCGGAGTTGTAGATTATTTCAGAAACACTTCCAAAAAGCAAAGGTTTAGATAAAAATGAGATGAAGCATGGTTTGTAGAGAATTTTCTTGACTTCAAAATAGGTTTAGACATTGTTCGATTAGTTTGATGGTTTTTGAGATATTCGAGGAGTTCACTCTTTCAATTTTCTACCCACTTGACATTCCATCGAATCAAAGTCAAGACTACTTTGAAAATTTAACAGCTGAATTCATCCAAAAACATCACAAAACCTTCTTTCCAGAGAATTTCCTGAAAATGAATTAATCTGAAATGGATTTTTCAAGTTAATAAATTCAATAGAATTTTCAGCTGAACCTTGAAATTTTATAAGCATTCTCCCCGTAAATCTATTCTAATGTCACTTCTATGGAAATTACTGTCAGAATGCCAACGAATTTCATTTCATTGTCTACAAAAACGATCTTTCAACATTTTATCGTAAAATTCATATTTTCTGCTCTTTTCATGTGCACGATTTACTCGGATTTGTTATTTCATCTGCCTGAACGATTTAGGGAGTGTCCGGTTTAAAAGCTAGAGAAATTTCCCCTGATAGAATTCACATAACGTCAGCTTTATCTCTTATACTTCAGGAGAAAATTGAAAAACAAATTTATTCATTTGATTTTTTTTTAACTAGTCACTCTCCATCTAAAATGAATTTTTCCATAAAAACTGGACGCAAAAGACACTCAATTTTTTATCAAAAACGAAAAAACTATGAATAAAATTATCTAACAAAAGAAATAAGCTTTTCCCGCGGATTTTTTATGAGTTCCCTGACCCAATCCTCATTAATTTCTCTCAAAAACCGCGTTCGAGGCTCTATTCTCACCCCCGCACATTCCACCGCGATATTGTCTCTCTTGCACATGAACTCCTGCAACAGGCGTCCCCCACCTCTGTCCAAGTACCCGCCGATCGTCCTACGTCGCTAATAAAAAGTGATCGACCTTCCCAATCGCAAAAAAAAGCCAATAAATTCCTTTACATATGAATAAAATCGATAAGAAAATAAATCGTGAAAGGAGAACACGTCGAGTTGCAACGAAAGTTTGTTGCGTTTGTGTTAAAATATGTATAAAATAAAATTGAAATTCCCGAGGACGGTCAGCTGGTTGACCTTTCTCTAGCGCCTTCGGGCATTTATTACTGTCGAGAATTACAGCCTTACGCTTCCCATTTCTTCATACGTCGACAGGTCTTCCAGGTTCTCAAATGTTTTCACTATTTTTTGGTATGGAAATTCAACGCCTCGAGATATTACTTCGTAGAATTTTAGATTTCTAATTGGTTAATTGAACGTAATTGTTGTGGGAAAATGAAATCAAACGGTGAGAGAATGATTTAGGGGTGGTTGCACCGTGTTTCAAGAATTTTGCAATTGAAAAATTAATTTCATGGTTATTTTCTACTTGTCTATCAACTCAAAAATTGTTGAATAACCCAGCTTTCACTGTTGGAAATTTTTTGAAGTTTGAGTGACAGCTGCACGTAAATTTTTAACGTTAGGATTTTTAAATAATTCGAAACATTAATCGTTCATCTCTATTAATTCTCATGGAACAATCGAATTGAAATTTACAGATTTCATTGAGTTTTTTATCAAATTGTCAAGTTTTTACTACAAAATTCATTGGAATTTTACCGGAGCTATCACTCCATCACAATTTCCAAGAAGTTCTGAGCTTTGGTGTTCATAAAAAATCATGAAGTAATTTTTCGTTGAAAAAATTAATTTTCACTGGTGAATTCCATTGAATTTTCAGGCAATTCCTCTAAAAGTCTTGGAATTCGATGAATTTCTTCACCTTCTCTGCACTAAAATATGTTTTCTGCATTTCCCTAGGGCCTAGAATATCACCAAACCCCCGGATAAATTTTCCCATGCTCCATTAAACCCCTAGGCTTTAATTCCCCGAGGAATTCCCCAAAAAATCCAGTTTAAACTTCTGTGACAAACAAATCCCCTCTTTTTCTTTCATCTTCACTTTTCGTTGACTTTTTTCTTCCCCGGAGAAACGCGTGTAGCCGTCCATAAGTATTTCCTCGACCTTTCAGCGTCTTGAAAAGAAACCAGAATGCAAGAGAGCAATGCTTTCCAAGGTCGTTCGGCCAACAAACCGCGTGGGTTTCAAAAGATGCAAATTATCCGTGATAGAATTTCATACTTCTCTTCGTACAAAAAGTGAGAGTCTCGCGAATATTTAATTCATCTTATTATTCTCATCATCTAAGATTACGTCACTTTCGATATCTATTGAGGGTATTTTGAAATGTACAAAATCTTGATCTCAAGCCTCACCTCTCTCTCAAGAGGCTCGACTTGGCCGCCAGAGATCTGACTCACTTTTACTTTTAAACAGGAATTTACGAACGAGTCTTAGAGCACTCTGTTACATCGTAGGAAATAAATAAACTCTTATTATCATTCGGGTATTCGCTCAACTACAGTGAAGTGAACTGGAAGTGAATAAAAACTCGCGATATAAAATTGAACTTTCATTAATATTTAGGAAATGACAATGATTGAAATAAGGAAACAAAGAGATGGTCTTGGTTGTTTTAAAACCATTACGATATTGCGTCATTTTACATTTCAATTTTTTTTTATTTTGCTTTTATTTTAGGGTCATTAGATTTTCATTTTTATATCTCAAAACAATAGGATCATTAATAATAATATTTTGCATAAATCTTCATTATTGCTACGAAGAGTTCTTAGTCCGGGGACAAAACAGATATTTCCCCCAGATTTTAAAATGAAACGACCGATTTTTTTTTCTATTTCGACGGTGTTTTTTATAGATAAGTAATTTTTTAAAAATTCATACACATTGTTATGAAAATATTTCGAAGCCTAGCCTTTCTGAAAAAAGGGTTACATGAGCAATTCTGCAGCCCAGGAAATTTTGTACAAAAAAAAGTCTTTTATTTTTTTAGCTAATCTGCTAGTTTTCGAGAGATTTGCGAATTTTCAACATTCATCTCCAAATTTCGGACACGGCCCCCAGCGAAATATTGAATTCCTCGTAAAAATGAAATCAATGAAAAATTTCGTAACCGAGTTAATTGATACACGCAAAGTCCCCAGGTATTCCAGCGTAACGTGAGGTGAATTCTCGCACGGTGCTCTCCAATGCGTGTTACATTCATTAAAAACTCCCACACGCTCATTACCATGTTTGTAACAAAGTAAGAGTCAACGATAAAACCACACGAGTAATATTCGCAAGAAAATTCTAGCCAACAAAAAGAAGAAGTGTAAAAACAACACTGTTATAATAACCCACTTAGCCATTACCAGACGTATTAAAGACCCGATATTTCACACATTGATAATTATCCCGATGGTATGCAATGCTCCACTTTCCCGAGGTAAGAGTCATTCATTTTTATCTTCATTTTTGTTTTTTTTTCCAATTGTTCTTATTTTGTCAGAAAGTCAGAATGAAAGCATTATTTCCCCAGGATGATTTTCGCGATTCAATTATCGGGC